ATAATAATAATAATAATAATAATAATAATAATAATAATAATAATAATAATAATAATAATAATAATAATAATAATAATAATAATAATATAATAATAATAATAATAATAATAATAATAATAATAATAATAATAATAATAATAATAATAATAATAATAATAATAATAATAATAATAATAATAATAATGATGATAATAATAATAATAATAATAATAGTAATAATAGTAATAATAATAAATTTAATATGTGGTATGTGGTTATCACATACTTTTTGATTATTGCCATAGACACATGATATCAGTAGTTTTTGTCACTTTATGCTAATACCTGTCATACCACAGCTTCTTTGTTATGCATCCTGATGCTTTTTCATACCTTTGTACATCCGCAAAGAACAATCAGGCAGCAGTGACCATAGCGCCCACCTGATAGTATCAGTAATTCTGTTTTGCTGTTCGTTGAAGTCAATGATGCTTCGGGTATTGGTGTCCACCAAAAATATTAGATCTATTGGCCCTTTTTCGCATTGTGTTACAAATTCTCAAATAAATTATTCATTCTTCAATCGAATTTCTTTGTCAACCAGGTAGCACAATATAATCAAGGACCGCTTCTTGCTACCATCATATGATTTTCATGTTTTGTTGCATGGGAAAACTACCGGAGTAACCAGTCATGGTTATTTGCACATTACAACTGTACGATTAATTTGCTTCATAAGAGAACCAACTATTGCCGGCTTTTCGAGCAGCTTTAGTGCAGTTAACCTTCGGATCGTAGTACAATGATTATTTATCAAATGCATTTTATTATTATCATCAGTTATAACAAACCGGACTCGAGAAGAGAACGAACCTTTTTTTGAGATCTGAGCATTCAATGCTGCACCAAAAAGTAGTAATGCAAATATCTGAAATATAAGTTTTCTGGATGCTGTTTTGATAGCCAGCAATATTCGAAAGGGAAAAGAGACATCGATGGGTTGCAGAAGGTAACAGTCCTCGTTGAATGTTAACTTGAAGTAAAAAAGGAAAGGAGACATACCGATGAGAAGAGATGTGCCTTCGCCATCGGTAATGGCTTCTTGCTTCCAGTGAATTCCTTTTTTCTTTCTAGTTATAGTCCAAAAAGTAATGCAAACAAATTGAAATCCACAATTTGTTGAACTTTAGTCTTCCCCTGGTAAACAGAATTGATGTTTAAATTTAGCACTGATATGTGAAATAGTTCGATTGATTCCTGCTAACATGCGATGGCAGAAGACGATCGAGACCTACATTTACTCTCACTTTCTCAGACTGGATTGAAATCAATGCTCGAAGGAACTCTTTGCATTTATAGTTCCATTTTTGGTATTACAACAAAAAATATCAAAATCAGAAGATAATCTGACTGTGCATACTTGACAGAAAAACAACGGCAGATGCTGTCGGGAAGATGCCGAAAATTCTAATGCAAATTTTCTGTTGGATTACCGAAATTTAAAGCTACTATCGGAAAAAACTGAAGGAAATTGTAATATGTCCAAACAGCTAAAGAATTTGTTGTAAAAACATTTTTGTTGTCTAAGGTCAATCGGTAAATATCTTCTCCCTTGTTAAAGGTCAATATGTTGTCTAAGGTTAATCTGTTAGAATATCTTTTCCTTTGATGTTGAGATGATTTATGGCGATTTTCCTTCCTACAAAGAAATCTAATCTTCTGTGTAAACATTTCTTGTATGAGTGAAATTATTGTCACCTTTGTAAGTATCTTAAATGGAGCTTACAAAGCTCCTCTTTAATCCTTACATATATATGTGTGAAAAAAATCCTGGAGAGTTCAGTTCTTACAACCGAGCGGATGATACTTCTCTTCGCTTATCCTCCGCGGCTAAACCACGACCAACGATATATTCGCATATCCACCACCATTGGACAACAAACTACGATATTCTTCTATTCGCTAAATACACTTCCCGTAACATATTCGCAACTCAACTATTTATAAACTAAGGAGTTTGTTAGTTGATCATATTATTTGCTTATGCTATGTCACTGCTTACCAATTCATCGTGTAGTATATATTTTATACCCTTTTTCTTGTTGTTAACTAGTAATATTGTACAAGAACAATATTACATTCTTAATAAATTTGTATCGCCGAGAAATGAGTTCAACAGAAAAACAAATTTCCCAACAGATGCTCCCGCTCCCGTTCCAACATCTAAAAATCACACTTCCACTTCCTTTCCCAAAAAATCCCTACCTTCCGATGTATTTATGACAGAAATGAATAAAAAAACATTGTAAAAATTGAGATTAGAAAATAGATAAAATGAAGATCGCAGTAGATGATGGTAATTTACGAACAACAGCAGGAAAAGTATTCAATAGATGATAGTGAAGATAAATCAACTGAATCAAACTGATCTTGATCATGGAAGAAAAGTAGCGGTTGATAAGATCGTGAAAAAGACTTTCTCCTTCGATTAACTCATTACCCATTTAGAAAAGAGTCTGTTCCATTTAACAATGCTTAAGTGGGACTTATCCCGATGATGAAAACTGAGGATATATCCGGATCTTATCCCGATGAAAACTGGATATAGAGGACATAGTCGATAACAGCAGCAAGAGCATTATTAATAAATAGACCTGAGCGATCTGAAAGGATACGAAAGAGGAAGAATAGTGGTAATTTGCTGGAGAAAATCTTCCTTCAGGGTAATTTATTGTCTGCAGTTGAAAAGAGGCAATGAAACACTGAACTGCAGTATTATTAATCATGTTATTCATTGAACTTGAATAGTAAATTGCGTTCTTCTTCAGTGATCGTTTATTTCGTTGTCTTTACTAAAATCCGTTTTTATCTACTTCTCCATGTTAGTGTGCCACCATTTATGCACAATCCCTCTTGGGTGAATGTGTTTAATTATATGATAGATGTTCTAGGAATATAATAAAACTTTGTTATACTATAAAGAATCAGGAAGTTAAAGTCTTAATTTTTAAAAGATGGACAAACGCCTTGTTCTTCTTCTCATCTCCTATTTTGTACATTCATCTAGAAAATCCTGTCGATCTTCTCTTAAATGAAAAATTAAATCTTATGCATGCAAAGAATGTAAACATTTTTGACCCAAAATTCATTTTCTAATTCTCTCAGTAAAAAAGGAATTCACAGATTGTACGGTAAGTTTAAAAAAAAAAAAAAAAACCGTTTTTCATTCGACTATGGAAATTTCAATTTAGCTTAATATTTCCTTTTCCTCTATTCCAAAATGAATATTAACTTTTGATTTTTTTTTTACAGATATCTGTGTTCAGTGACATTGTCATGTCATCCTACGTTATCATTTGAGATTGATTAGAATTATAAATAAATTACAACGGAACATAAATCTGACTTCTAATTTGTATCCATTATGGACTATGGAGATGATATATGTTAAATTATATTTAAGCAGTGTAGAAAGATGTTTGGAACGCTGATGAATTCCATTTCCTCATATTGCTCTTCGAGTAAAGACGATAACAAATCCCCAAAGTAAGATTCAATCAATATGGTGAGGAAATTTAACAATTTCTATCCCTATTCTGGCAATATTATTTGAGATAATCGTACAATTGTTTGCACTGTTTTTTTCCTCCAAAAGTAACAAGAGACATATGTTCAATGTCGCACGATTAATGAACAATTTATTTCAAAACAAATGTTTACAAACAAAGATCATCAACAAAGATGATTTAGAAATAAAACGACACAGCGTCCAAATATTCAAATATTTTTTGAATTTCTTTTCCGACTTAAAAAGAACTAGGACTTATTTTTTGATTTACTGCAAAAAGATGTCGAAGCATATCTCTACTAATTTCAAAGTATTTAATAACTGAACTCATTAGAAACAAATTTTCAATTTATATTAAAAATATGTTCTTGTTTCCTTCCCAGTTGGTCCAATTAGGTTGCAAATTATGAGATTTTCTGTAAATTCATTGAATTTTAACGCATAATGAAATGTTTCGTGAAGCATTTTGTTTTATGGGGAGTGATGAAAAAAGCCTCTATTGAAATTTTCCATATGAAGAGTATTTCAGATTTTTGAAGGAACCAAACGTCTCTTTTTCAGTAAACTTTCATTTTCTTCGTTTCACCATCTTTCAGAGAATGCATTAACTTACTTAAAGATTTATGCAAAAAGATGAAAAATAATAACGATCAAAAGGTTCTTCTGTCTGCACTACTTTTCCTGTCAATGAAATTCTTATTATCAGTGAGCGCACATTTGTTACATTATTGTACGTCTGGTATAAATAACAGCTTAGACAAAGGTATTAATGCTACTTTATTCATTACCAAAAGTGAAGATTTTATTTCGTCCCGTAACTATTGATCTTTTCACCGATTGACTTTCAAATTAATATTTGGACAAAATTTGCATCAGAGAGAGGCTATAATTTCTGTTGGAAGGAGACATGGAGCCATTACTTGGTCTCATAATAGCATTCTCGAATCAATAATCATTTTAATCATGTCACTTCAGTTGATATTTTATTGAATGTGTGGCTGAAGTATGCCTCAAAGTAAATTAACTGGAAAACTTAATCACATGTTTTCAACCCATTTTATTGGAAGGCTTCCTTCATACTGAGCGAGAGAAGTTGCAACTATACAACTGGGATTCTCTGACGCATTTTCAAAAATCGTATGCCTCAGGTAATAATTAGGATAATTCAAAAAATGCTTTTCACTAAGGTTTGATTTGATTTTAGAGTTTAGCAACCCACAGAGTTTAGCATTTGTCAGTACTGTGGCATATATTTTGTGAAAAAGTGCTTAGGGAAGTGCGAGTTAAAACTTACAACACTGTGCTTAACTTCCCTTATCGATAAAGAGATTCATCTGGAGGTACTTAATTCTTCAGGAATCTCTGTTTATAAAGGTGCGATAACGTTTTTTGTCAAGAGCTACACACTCTTTCTAAATTCCTTAATAAGCCAGTAATTATTGGGTATCACAAATACATGTTTGATAGAAAATCAAACTGATAAAAAATTTCAAGAAATAACAAATGATCGTCACTTATGTGCATAAAGAGAAGTAAGGATAAGAATTGGATAACCTTTCCGGCAAAGACCTTTGTGATAGCAAAAGTATATTGCTTACCGCAACGTGTAGTCGGTCAATGTCTTTAACCGGTTTTTCTTCTCTTTAATCACTCATTTGAAAGAAATTCTTCTCCTGCTCCTTTGCTACGCACAGCCCCTTTCCTCACTCATGGAAAGAGTTCAGTAGTTCCGTACTTACTATTATTAGTGTTATGAATTATCAGCTTAACTGCTATCAACATTAATATTATTAATTAGTACACTTGTAGTTATCATCTGCATTAATAGAACTATTAACATAAAACTATTACAATCATAGCCTATTGCTGATGCATTAGTTAAAAAAAGCCTAATCATGGATGAAAATGAATCAGACCAGCAGATAATGTGATATGATATAGTGTGATTGTTATAACTATGCATAATTAATCTTATGGGTTTTCTCCTTTCCTTTATCTCCTTCACCAGTTAAATCTTCAACCCTTTCTCTAACAGCCCTAATAAAAAAGCCCGACTAAAATCTTGTTTTGGTAAAAACACCACTCTTATCATTTCTTTACTTCGAAGAGAAGCATGGTAAGATACAGTTAGTGATCGGCTGATACGCCAATCATTTGATAACATCTGATTTTAGCAATAAAAAAGAAAAAGGATTAGTGCTATTTAACTGAGACATCGGTGAAAATTAGAAATATACTGCGAAAAAGACGTCATGTACTGTGAGAAAAGAAGTTGACGTTTGGATGGATGAAAGATAAATAAAAAATTGTTTGCGTATTGAGATCTGTTGGACAGCCTCTCCGCAGTGTCTCAGGTCTGCTCCTGATCTCGCGCAGGAATAAACCAAATTATGAAGATATACTGCGTAGATGGACATAGCGATGTGTCGCCATCATAATGACTGACCCATTACGTCCTTCTCGAGAGGTGTTCCGAAAAACTCTCATGTCGTTTTAGAAGTAATCCTTCCCATTTTCCCCCTTCAACAGAAGAAAATAGAGCAGTGCAATTACTATCACATCTCTCTTACATTGTCAGTTTCTATGCTCCTTCACAAAAACAACTGTTATCATTCTGACACCACTTTACATAACGGAATTATCCATTTTACAATTTTCAATCATTTTTGAGGATTCCTTATTCCTCTTATTCCAACCTTTCTAACCTGCTCTCTTTCATTCATGTTGTTCAACCGACCCTTATTCAATTTCCAAAGTAATAAAAAGAAAAAAGAGGAAGGAAGATTCGATCGCTCAACCAATGGAATTGGATAGATTGCAGTGAGATGGTGATCCATCTGCCTTCGACAAGATTACGATGAGGCATATGAAAAATTCCACGTCATAGACAAGTTTTCTCTTTAAACAACGATTAGAAAACCCAACAGTAGTTCCTCTCCATAAACACAATTTTAACAACTTGCTATATACGGAACAACTATAGTTTCAGACTCAGCTGTTTAACAATATCGTGCCCAATACGATACTATTAAGGATCGCCTGAATGCGTATACAGTATATGATGTGGTGCTATTTTTTGTAAAACGATTTCCGTTGTCAAATTTTGTTTTCTTCGGCAATGAAGTCCTTTTTTGTTGATTATTACATTGAACAGCTGTGACAATAGTAGCTTTATTAATTGACGCGGGAATATTCTTAACGTACAACGAATCGAAGCATACATCTATTGGAGTGAATGATTGAACTGAGTGAATAACTACTCTTTGAATAAGAAACTCGTATTTGTACAGTGAGAGTTTGTTTACAACATGTAGCTTCTGACCCCTGTATAGCTCGAATTTTACCACCATTAGCTCTTTGACCAATATATAGCAAGAGTCATTTACAACGTTCAGATAACTGCACATAGAGTTTTATGCAACATTGGTTAGTTTACACTGTCTTTACAACATGAGTTGACATCCATCATCTTAACAAAATTGACACACTTCTATATTATAAAAGTACTTCAGTTTTCCCGATATCCGCAGACTACAGAGCAATCTCTTTGAAACAGAATGGGATAAGTGCGCACATGTCATCCACACAGACTGTTATAACTATGGGATTCTTCATGGAATCGGCAAATTATGAACCTGCTTCATATGTAAAAAAATGTTTTGTACAAAAATAAATTTAAATGGTGAGTAAAGGAAAAATTAGAAATGAGCACAACTGCGGGCAAGGGTCGAAGAAATACGAGCAGTAAATCGAGGTCATATCACTCTCGGCACTTCAAGGCCGAACATTTTCAAAGAGTAAATGATCAGAAAAAACGACGGAAAGTGAAATGGTTGTCAAATCCTTCCCACCGTGTTCCATCTAATACCTATAGTTCTGTTGAAGTGAAGTCTGAAGGTAATCTTGAAACATTGATACTTTTAACGTTAGTGCTTACGTCTGTTATATACTTTACGTAGTTTATTATTCCATCTAAGATACCTCCAGTCAAATTAAATCGTGCTGTCTCAGTGCTAATGTTTAGGTATAAATTATCTTGTCACAACATAGCTTACAGTAAGCTATTCACTACCATCCGATTCAGCTATTACCGTTGGGATGGGATTGAGAATTTAACTTCAGTAGTCTTGGTGGTCAAGTCCCTTATCATCAATTATCCTCCACCGCCCCACTACATTATTCGTTAGATGACACGCCTTATCCGCATACTATTTTTAGGATTTTAGGATTCCTTTCGGAATCAGCGAATTATAAGCCTGCTCTACGCAATTATTTACGTAATTTTACCAACATGACATAATAAATAACTGAAGGTGAGCACAATATGACAACAGAAACATTAAGGGGAAAGAACAGTAAATATTTACGTACAGCAAATAAGGCGATTCTATAGACAAACCGGATAGCTTCTAGGAATTCTTGTTATTCATTTCCCGGAAAATCCAAAAATTGTAAAACAAATGTATGATAATCAAACCAGTCACTGCAATATGAATATTAATCATTGTGCTAATGATACATCATCATTGTCTAAGCAATGATCAACACATCCATCAAAATATCTCCAGTTCTGATGGTTGAATTATTCGGAATAATGCAGAGCGCCCATGATGAAAGGATAAATTCATTTTATTCTGGAACAGCTTTTCTCTAAAACTCGTTTCCTTAACAATCGTCTCAAATAAGAGAGAACCGGAAGGCTTCGAATTGGGGATATTTTGTTTCATGGAAACAGTGTCATGCAAAACGACAGTCAAACTTTCACCGGTCAATTCTCAAAAAGCACCCGAGTAGGTGCATGTGTAGCAAAAGAAAAACACCAAAGATATCGGAAAAAAAGAACGGCTCAATCTCCGTAACGAAAGACATTACGAACAATGATAGTTACAACGCATAAATGAGAGAAATGGAACGAGAAGAGGAGATAATAGGAAGGAGAAAACGAGCAAATATTATACAGAGTGACATGAAATGTGAATATCACAGTAGGAGTGAACGAACTACACATCGGTGACCTCATCGTTACTGTTTGCAACCATCATTTTATCATTCCCTTCCTTCAACATTCTCCTGGGCGGTATTGGTGCATTTGGCCTAAGATCTGAATGAGGTGCTGAAACAACGGCAAAGTTGTAACGTGATAGCAACTTAACCTTACTGTTCTTATCAGCTTTATGTACTACAAATCCGAACTACACATGTGTACTTTTTCTGGAATGATAAGTTTAATTGAAATAAGAAAAAAGAAAAAAGATGAAACATTTTGATTATTGTGAAACAAAAGTTAACAAAATGAACATTTAAAAAAGTCACCAATAACAGAAGAAGAAAGTTCAGGTTTCATATCAACGGACGCAAAAGAGTGTGCCTGCGATGCAGCGTTGCCATGCAGCGTTGATGTTTCAGTAAGTGACGCTACTAAGGGAGAGGACCCCATCGACTGAGCGTCGGATGATTCTTCCATCTCGTACACTGGATTTGAGAATGTTGTCGATGAAGCTACAGTCCCGGCTTGCAGTTGTACCATACCATATTCCACTGGTGTTGTATCGCTCTACAACAAAAAATAAGTAAATGCGCCTCTGCTGAAAAAAAAAAATCTAAACTTACGGGTTTGGGATCCAGAACAGGATTGCTAAATGAGATGATATTTCCGTGAAATGAAACAGCTCCATCAGCGGCTTCATTTTTTTTGAATAGCAACAAACGCTTCCTATAAAGGTTCGTTCCCACCAGAACCATCAGTGCAACACAGGCTAGCAAAGAAATGAACAATAGTGCTGCCAACAGAGCATTCGAACCAAACCGACCAATTAACTGGAAATTGAACAAATCATATTTTTGTTGCAATCATTAATTAATTCAAGAAGATTTTCTTCGTGCTCGGCTGTTATACATTTCGTTAAATTAATCTCAAAACTGAGCGATCCTTAAGCCATCATTTCTAGAACATTACCGGTGTGTCATTGCTGCAGTGTATAGAGAAATAAAGTCTTTTAATCCAACAACATTTCCGTTTCACTAGTCATTATCAGAAAGCAAATTAAAATCAATACCGACATTGATAAAATCGTCGTTCATACTACACTGCACTACTACCATTTCTCATTTAAATAATGCAATTAGGTGATTAAAGTTACGGAATGACTTTCCTTCCTGAAAGGTAAAAGCAGACAAACCTGTCGGGATACAGTTGAACCTTTCTGACATTGTTCTCCTTCGAAGTCACCGCAATCACAATAACCATCCAACTGGCATATACCACCGTTCTGACATTCACACTGCTTTGGAATCGGCAGCTCATCCACTCTAGTACCGGCACATGAACCGTCCTAAAAACAACACTTATATATTATCAGTAGAATTTTAATGAACAAAGAGATGAACTTCTTCAGATGGTCAAAGCAGCTGTCCGAAATTAATATTTACACTTTCCAAAACTCCACAAAACAAGAAGTATCTATTGCTGCTAGCGTTTCGTGATAAAATACAAATTATTTCGAAATAATAAAAAAAAAGACATTTTTGATATTAGTCTGAAATGCAAGAGACATATTAGCATTAACTTCATCGAATCTCTTAATTTATTCATTAACGCATTCTAAGTCATTGATAGCTTAGCCATCTCCATTTAAAAAAAGAAAAAAAAGTCAGCAGTCACCTAAGAGGATGGTGTTCTTCGCATCTCGCTGCAGTAGCAAGGTGAAGACCAGGTGTTAATTGACTAACTAGATCGTTCTCGGAGCCCCAATAACATATGGTATCATTCACATAAAGATTTTCTTCTCTATACCAGGAATTTCAACTATTTTAAGCTACTAATGTTTGCACAAAGGATTAAAAATTATCCAAATTTGATTTCCAAGACTCTGTTTAACTTTTACTGTTGACATATGACCTTCTCTCGACAAATTCGCCTCAATTGCACCCTTATCGATGCATTTGAAAATATCTTTCGTTTCTTTATGATATATAGTTCAATTGACCTCAAGCTGTGGCGATTCATCAGGACATAAGCATGTATATGTATTTAGAGGCAGTTCAGCACACAAATGACTGCATGCAGCGCGCGAGCATGTTGACACAGCACGTGACGTGTCACGGGCAAAGCGCTGATGTATGCGAATACTGTGTGCATTTGGAATACTGGAAGCTAACACGCTGACGCGACCACGACCAAACTTATCCTGCAATTATACCGGTTTCTTCATGATCTATTTATTGTCATTTTTGATATTATGAGGGAATGGTCAGCACAAACAACCTGTACAAATAAATCTTGGCTTTCTTTGGAAGCCCAATAGAGATTGTTCTCGAATACATCTATTGCCCATGGCATCCGATTATTCACTATGACTGTTGTTCGTCTCGTACCTATAATTTAATCATGAATATACCCATCCAACAATAGAATAGGACATTGAAAGGACCAATATTCCTTATAATTAATCTTCTTCAATTGCACAGTATAAAATTATTAACCATCTGGTAAGACTGATTCCACTTTGCGATACTTCGGATCTGCCCAGTATATTCGATTGTCTTTACCTTCATCAACAGTCAATGAAGTCGGCGAATAAATCAGGTCTTTTATAATAACCTAGAAAAGTGCATTGATTAAAATGGTAGATCCAGTTAAAGCAACGAACATAATTTCACGGTTTCATTTGGGGATAAATACTTACAGCTAGCACAGATTTATTTATTTAAGCAACTGTTTCCTTATAGTATAGTTGCAAAAGCCAGAATTACATTCATTCACCTCCCTTTAAAGATAAACATTATTTCAATTAAAAACATACGTCACGATGTTTTCCATCCATATCAGCACATTCAATTTTTGCATCAAATCCGGCATCCGCAAAACATATTCTTCCGATCTGTGGTAATGTGATAACAGCAGTTGGGATATGAAGCCGTCCCTTAATCAAAGTTCGTAAATAACGACCATCCGACTTCGCCAAATAGATTGTACCTCCACCGCCTTTATTTCTTGCTTGTTCCGCTTGTCTTTTCTTCCTTGCTATGAATCCCGCAGCTTCCTCATCTGATATTGCTGCGAAATATATATTCCTGCAATATTTGATTATTATATAATCCCAACCTCAAAAATTTCAAAATTTTTTGATTCTTAGCACATGCAGTAATTAATCTACAGGCAGCAATACTATTTGTTTTGAAGGAAACATTTTCATAAAATGGAACGATTAAAATGCAGTAGCTATAAATGTCAAATGAAAAGGAGAAATTACCCTGTAAGATAATCAATGGAAAGAGCGGAGGGTGAAGACTTCAAATCCTTGAAATTAATATTAAGCTCTTGGCCAGCATGCGACTGATTGCCTGAAATATAAGCTATTAAGAACCAATAACATTTAGAAATAAAAAAATGAAATTTATTTTGTCACCACTGAAAATATTATCCCTGAATGAAACACTATTTGCTGCAATATGAGATGTAACCAGTTTAACGGATGTACCTTTGGGCAGTGCGGATCGGTAAACTTTGCGCTGCTGACTATCAATCCAGAACATTAGTCCTCTGCGTGGATCGAAGTCCAGTGCAATGATATCATTCTGACCAAGCACACCCGCCGCATGACGAATCGTTTCACCTGCATGTGCAAGATTCAATTGCACTACTTCACCATCTGCGGCTACCATTATTAGCGGTGGATCGCCCTACAAATTTTAAAAGTATGTCAAACCGCAAACACTTACCATTCAATCAATAATAATCGATTGGTTTCTTCCTAAGAGAAAATATAATGAAATAAACCTTGGCACGGCAATCCTTGCCAGTCATTGCTCCTACAACTACATTGTTTTCGAAGTCCTCGAGACATCGACAAAGATATGATCCTTTGGTATTCAGACAGCTCTAAAAATAAATTTTTTTCAGAAGAACAAATCCAGCCAATCTATTCTGTCTTACGTTTTCAGATATCTAAGATGAATATCATTCAGTGCAATTATTTTAATAAATTCAAGAATAACCATTACCTGAGTACAGGTATTATTCCCCGTACATTCATCAATATCAATGCAGTCATAGGGATCATCCGGATTCGGTTGAAATCCATCTCGACAATGACAGTAGTAACCATTCGTAACATCTGTACACAAATGCTTACAATTCCCATTTTCATTATTTGTTTCACACGTAATTCCTCTTCTTTTCGCTGTAATAATCTCCCATTAAAAATAAATACCTCGTGATTAGCAGCCAGAATCTAAAAATTTTAGCTATGCTGTGTACGGTATTTTTCTATGCACATAAATATACGGACGATTATACTCAAGTGCAACATTTCATCTAAAGTGAAAAGTTAGAAAACTTGAAGAAATGAAACAAAGCTAGCTCTCGACCTACGATAGCGCCGTTTATTTTAATTAAGCCTCCTTTGATCATAATCACATACACATATGCAGAGTGCTGTTATATGTTATCTTGCTTTGAAATGTATCAATTTTGCATACCACATCCAATTTCATCACTAGCATCGCCACAGTCGTCGTTGTGGTCACAAGCCAATGATGCATTGATGCATTTACCATTAGTGCACTTGAACTGATTGGTGGTGCAATCGCCATACTCGGAGAATGAGCTGCACATGGACAGATGCTCATCTGAATGATCAAATGGTCCACAATCATCGATACCGTTACATAACTGCAATGGAAGAAGGAAAAAAGTATATCACTACCAAAAAAATGGTACAAAGGAAGGAATAGTTGTAACCTGCAAAATATTCAGACAAAGTCTGGAATGAGCACAACGGAAACGAAGAGGTGGATCACACACTGCATTCTTGCAGTGCTCATTTGTTTCATCAGAATTATCACCACAGTCGTTATCGCCATCACAAATGAATTTACGCGGGATACATACTGAATTGCCGCATTCGAATTCAAACGGACTACATTCACGGCGGTTTGGCTAAAACAGATGAATGACAAATGATCAAAGGATTGACGATTTTTTTTTTTTTTGTTCTTTATTTAAAATGTAAATACCACGAAAGTGTCGCTTACATACAAAATTCTTAACTCACATGATTTTCGCAGTGGGATTCATCAGAAGCATTTGGACAATCGCGTCGACGATCACACCAACGATGTTCGGGTATACAAGTACCATCGTCGCACTTCATGAATCCTGCATTACATTCACGCATTTTGCACTGCGATTCATCTATACCATCAGCGCACTGTACGGTACCATCGCAAACCTGTAATTTAATGATTTCTAATTCTGCTCCGGAAATGCACAGTTAAAATTTTCGTTGATAGTTTTGAAAAAACAACCAAAACCCGCCCCTCGTTTATCCTATCCTCCCTCATAATTCATTCCTCGGTGATGAGTTGGAAAGCACGATACAATTATGGGAATTTACCATCCCACCTTATTTCCAGGAATACAACGACCATCACTACATCGAAATTCAGATTCTGAACAGGGTCTTGATGTGCCCCCACATGAAACGTCTGTTTCGTCGGAATCATCGCCACAGTCATTTTCGCTATCACACATCCATCTTCTGAAAAAAGAGATTGTACATCATGAAAAAATATGAAGGACCGGTTTATTTGATTTATTGACTGTTGTTATTTACTCCACACAAAAGAATTAACATGATGCTAACTTTGGGATACATTTTCCAGATGTAGCGCATCGGAATTCACCAATATCATCACAAGCCGGACAACGATCTATTATTTCATCTGAGTTATCACGGCAGTCATCCTGTCCATTACAGAACGCCCAATTCGGTATGCATCTGCAAAGAACGGTATAACATTCAAACTCTTAATAAACGTAATGTTGATATCCTGTCAGGCATCCTGCTATTTATATGGAATCCTAAATCCCAACAGAATCTCAAAACTAATGAAGACCAGTTGAACACTTTTAAGAACTAACTAAATTTTAACGCTAGCAATTTCAAATACGAAAAAAAGCATGCATTCATATTTAAATCTTTTTTGTGTTAATTGTGTTAATACAGAAGAACCTATAAGAAGTGGAACATCGAGTCCACCCTTTGCGACATTCAATACTGGTGCATTCTGGAGGCTCATCTGAACCATCACCGCAATCATCGTCGTTGTCACACTTCCACATCTTCGGTATACATTTGTGATTAGAGCAACGAAATTCTTCCGCAGTGCAGTTCCGCTCTTTATTTTCTTGAAAGAAGACATCAAAATTAAGAGATGTATCAATAAGCATTGCACATAAGATACGCCTTATCCTTGCATATACTAAAGTTAACAGGAAATCTTCAACAGTAAGCATGCCGCGGTTGCATTAGATTCCATGAAATTAACCAATACAACCGGTAACCCCATGGGTTTCTATAGCTTTTATATTGATAACACGGAATGAGTGAAATGAACGAACTGCATATGACATCTGTTTCATCAGATCGATCGCCACAGTCATCGTCTCCATCACAAATGAACCTTTTCGGAATGCACTTACCGGTCGCCGCACATTTGAACATCCACGGATCACACGGTTTATCACATTCTACCTGAAAGCTTATGAGACACTAGAAGTTTTAAGTTAGAAAGTAACTTAGTAGAAGATAGTTCCTGTGTTTGGAAAAGCAATTTAAAAGTTAAAATTATTTGTCTAATCGATTCTGTCACATTTTATATGATTAGAAAAACATTTTTTATGTCTAGTTTTCAGGACAAGAATCTATTATAAACAGAAGGAAAGAGAAAAGAGAGAAAGCAATTGCCACCTCGTGACTTCCATGTTCTTTAAGAGGATAGAATAATGAGAGTCAAAAATGACCACCTACCTCATCGGAACCATCACCGCAGTCATCGTTGCCATCACAAAGTTGGAACGGTCGTGTGCAGTTGTGATTGTTGCATTGAAATTCGCCAACGACACAAATTCTGGGTCCTTAAAGACCGATGAATGACAAGAAAAAACCGGTCTTGAAGCAAAATCTTTTGCAAAAACGTAAGAGAATGAAGATAACTTCAATGACAGAAACGACAGAAAGAAGCACCGCAAATATCTTTCCCAGGTTCGTCGCTGCCATCACGGCAATCTGGCTCTCCGTCACAGTACCAAAGTTTTGGAATACACTTCGCGTCATCCCCACCACACGCAAACTGTCGATCAGTGCACTGAGGTTCACACGTTTTATTATCAGTAAGAAGAACGAACTGATCAGGGCAAGAACATGTAAAACCAGGATCGTAAGCAGATAACAAACATAAGTGAGAACACCCGCCGTTGTCATCGCCGCATGGATTCTTATATTTTGGTTGTCGGAATGGGTGAATAACCTGAAATATGGCAAAATAAAGTTAGATCCAGACCTGAAGAATGTTCGCTGATTATTAAAACGCGAATTATCGTAGTTTGCATAATCTGAAGAAAATTAAAAGAGTAAACGAAATGACCCTGATATCACTTGGTAATTGTGTCGTCACTTTGAGTACCGTTTCGTTCATGCCAGTCCACTTATCCGCTCTAATAATTTCGCGTAAGTTCCAATCTGACCAGAACAAATAATCATCGAATACAGTCATCGATGAAATGTGAGACGTGCGTTTTGCTGGGATATGATGTCTGGTCCCGCCATTCAAATCCATGAAGCCAATTTCATTTAAGTGCGCATCCGCCCAAAAGAGTCTGTAAGAAATCGCTGCGAAAAATAATGATCGACATGTGAAAAAAATGAATAAGAACAGTTGGCTTTAAAATGGCTATAACTCTGCCAATCCAACAGCATCATGTCATTCATCCCACCTTAGTTGTAAGGTGCATAATGATGTCGTTGCCACTGTTTTATTACAAGTTTGATTTTTCCTGAATTTTTACATACATATGGATAATACGGTCACTTACTTATCAGCAAAGAAATCAATAGCAAGGGCATTTGGCCAGCCAAGATCATTTTCAGCAAGTTTTTCAACTGGATCAGATAGCTGTGGAGAGCCATCCAGTGATACTCGACCAATGTATGCTTGCAGACTCCATTCCGTAAAATATAGATAGCCTTTTTCAGGATGTATTACTATTGCCTGCAAATGAACCAAGTATATTAGCTGTATGGATAAGCAGCAACCTTAAACAGACAAAAAAAAAACAACCAAACAAACCTTCGGTTGAGCTATACGATCACGAATAAGTGTTCTACAATAACGGCCATCCAATTCACAAACGCGCAGCGAACGTTCCTGTCGGTTCAACATGTACAGTTTGCGCCCAATCCAGTCAATTGCAATGCCTACAGCGGAAAATTAAGTCTGTATTTCTTGTACCAACAAAAGCAATATTGCAGGAAAAAACGAAAAAAAACTACATTTGGAGAATACAATAGATATGAAGAAATCCAACAGGACAAATATTTAATTAACTATGCCACACTTACATTACTACGTAATGTACTCTCTTTGTCGTTTTATTTTAATGTAAAACCAAATGAACATTTCACTCTTCCTAATCCTGTTTACCCGTATATGTATGTATGTTAACTTGCATACGCATCCTTTCAAGAGTTCCGAAATGATAACAAAATATAAGCAAGGCTGACCTTCAGTACCAAAAACATTATGCCTCAGAACGACCTCATAAGAGTCAATCGGTTGATCCAGCTCTTCCATACCAACTCTATAGAGTCTAAGTTTACCGGAATCCACAAGATACACCTAAAATGTAATAGAAATATTACTTTGGAAATGAATGAACAAAAATATAATCTTGAATCATCCTGAAAGATATAAACGATTAACAAGATGGTTATAAGAGTCAATCAAAAACACTAAATCCAGAAATGAATCACTTGGATAATTTAATCCACATGTTCCAATGGATTTCATAAAATACAGGATTAGTGATTTAAATAGTTGAAGGAAAGAAAGAACAGTTCCAGAACTCTCACTTTTTCTTCTTTCATGTCGATATCCATCGATATAACATTTTCGAATCCCCGAGCTACTAACTCGTAATTTTCTCCATCTAACGTGAGCTTCCGTACATAGTGCTTATTTGCAAATAGTAACCATGGTTCGGGATCCTGACAGAAATTTTATCTCAAACTGATGATCATTCTATTGTTTCTCCCTTTTTTTCATGAATATTTTTTGGGCTAGAACAGAAAAATTTTTAAAAACGCACCGTACTAACTCGTTTGCATGTGCGATCATCACTTAATATAGCATATCCATCAACGCACCAACATTTATAACTACCAACTTTGTTTTCGCATTTTTGACTGCACCGCCCAAGCCCAGCTGAACATATCAACGTCAGATAAGAGAAATAGACGAGCAAAAAGAGCATTCGGTTATACAGAAAGTTATTTAAAAAATGAGAAGGCAAGATGTGGAAATTCCTAAACCTGATACTAATTAGTTGTATGATATGTTTAGCATGGAGTCACATAACAAACAAAGATCAGCTGTCAAATAAACGAAAAACAAAGTTTTTTCGAGTTATTTGTACTTACCTTTGCAGAACGTTCTATTCATCGTTATTGACACAGCCACAATAAAGAAATGAAGGAACGTTTGGCCTCTTTCAAAATGTATCAATGATCGTCAAATACTAGTTAAATTTTGGGAGAATAATGGATTAATAAATACTTACTTTCACATTCATCGATGTCATGGCATGATTTTTTGTCATCCATGTCGAGGGCAAACCCGTCGAAACAATCACAACGATAATCGATCGGCAAATCAACGCATTTTTGTTCGCACAATGGTTTTTCCGCAACGATACATTCGTTAATAACTACAAAACACACATTAATTGATCAATTTTTATCTAACATTAGTTTTAGTTTTTATCAAATGACTTACAACATTTTGACGATTCATCGGATCTATCCAGACAATCGTAAACTCGATCGCATACTTTCGCTGTCACTATACATTCCCCATTCCTGCAGCGGAACTGTCCAGCAGGACAACCACTCGCCATCAAGTCTGAACCACTCTTATTAGCGCACTCCTGAAAATGCTTTTCATTTAACAATGAACTGTCTAACGGATTAGCATTGAGCCATCATTGAATAGAGTACAAGTAAGTTTATGCATTCATAACGAATATCTGTTTCATTGCCTCATTACCTTCTCATCACTACCATCATCGCAATCATCATTTCCATCACATTTCCATGAGTTGGGGATGCATTTGTTATTTGCACATTGCCAGAACTCAGGTTGACATTGTGAGTAAGCTATAATGAAACAATTTAAAGCATTAATCAAAATGTGGAAAAGAAAATATGACACATGAAAAAGGAATTGTAATAATACTTACTACAGTTGGCGTGCTCGTCGGAGCCATCCAGACAATCGTTGTCGCCATCACATTCCCATGATGCACGGACACAGTGCTTGTTGGCACATCTGATATAAATACATACATACCTTCTTGTTCTAAACATCTGTCAAAACACTAAACCTTCTTGTTCTAAACATCTGTCAAAACACTAAATTGAAAAAAGTCGGAATATCTGTCTTTAATCGAAACAAACCTGAATTCTCCTTTGTTACAATCTTTTTTCTCCACTCCGCATAATTCCTTGCTTTCATCCTCGCCATTTGCGCAGGTAACGTCACCATCACAGAGCCATGCTTTCGGTATACACTCGTATTTCGGTTGAGTAAGATGAACGTTTGATTTGCAATGAAATTCCTGATCAGTACAAGTACGATTCCCTGAATGGAATAACTATCATTTAGCAACAAATTTCCTTATCACTACTACTTTTACCACGATTGACTCACCACAGTTATGAATGATACTTTCATCACTCGCATCGCCACAGTCATCTTCGCCATCACAAATGAATGCTCGACTGATACATTTCCCGTTACCGCACTGAAAAATAAACTGAGAATGGTATAAATTCATCACAACCTACTGAACTACTGAAATCTTCCTGAACGGATGATTCATACCTGGAACAAATACTCTCCCAGGCAAATGCGCCTTCCGGCAGAATCTGTACAATTCGTGTGATTTTCATCCCAAGCGCTCTCACCGCAATCGTTGTCACCGTCACACTGCCATGTCTCCGGTATACACCGACCGCTCGGACAACGAACACTACAATTTGCATTATACTAAACTTTTTTCCTACTAATTAGAAACATCGTAGAACTTTTTTGAAGACTAGAAAGTGTCAACATATCAATCTGTTATTTATACATTTTGATATCAGAAGTTAGGAAAAAAGACTACTGTATGGTTTGTTTAAGCTCAATGTTATTAAAAAGTGCTGAGAGAAATGTACAGTGTAAATCAAATGAAAAAGGAAAGTATTATAGCCACAACAAAATATTCTTATCAATAGGAGAACGCACTAATGCATAGCACATGGCTGATTCATGCAGAAAAGTTTATTTTCATCTGCTTTATCGCCACAATCATCGTAACCATCACAAAGATCCGCTGGCTGAATACAAATGTTCGTATTTGGACAACGTATTCGTACTCCACGACAATCAATAGGCAAATCTGGACATGTTTCCTTGTTTTCATCAGACACTTTTTCGTCATGACAATCATTGTGGCCATCACACACCTAAATATTAATAAAGGAATATTCACATAGATGAGAATTTGGTTTTCTTTTAACGAATATTTCAAATATAAAGCAGCAGCGAGTACAAGACAATTTGATTCAATTTTCCAGGGCAGCTTTTGTCCCAAGTAAGCTGCACATGCGATGCTGTCATACAATTGTGTATTCTAACTGTCCAGAAAGAACACCGTCGTTCATGCAAACAAGAAGACCTGAGAATATCTCAAAAATATTGCATGCATACCTTGGTACTGTTGATGCAGTGCCCATTAGAGCATTCGAAATGTCCAGAAGGACAAGCAGATGAGGTGGCGGTGCAATCTAGTTCATCTGAATTATCACCACAGTCATCTACATTATTGCATTGACGATCAGCATCGATACAACGCCGATTGGAGCACAGGAAATACTGTTCCGGACACACCCGAGTGTCTAAACGTACTTTTTCAAGTGAAGGTTTGTCAATAGAAAGAATGAGAAAAGAACTGTAAGTAGAGAGCAAACATATGAAATTCAAACAGATCATGTAACTTACTGCAATAAGCTGAATGCTCATCCGAACCATCTGTGCAATCTTGCTTGCCGTTACATGTCGCGCTAAGTGCAATACAAGAACCATCACCACATTGGAAGTTGTATGGTGCTTGACACGTCTTAAAAATACGATATTATATGGAAGCAAATGATATTACTATAATAAGGATAGTATCTATACAAGAATGATGTACGTTTTCTGCTGGACCTAAACACGACTTTCTTCATTTGAAGAGTAAACTTGATACCATAATAAATCTATGGTTGCGATGAAACAAGAAAATTTCCTAGAATCCGTCAGCCACAACTAACTTGAACAGCTTCTCGCGGTACACACTGAGTAGCGATGTCCTTCCCAGGTTCAGTAACAAGTTCAAAAGAATCATTGCAAGCGCATTGCACCTTTGAAGCCGTCACTGCGCTATCCGATGCAATTATATGGCAAAGCTGAAACAAATATCTCCGTCTTCTTTATATCATCAAATTTTGTTTGCCACCTTAAGCAAGACGCGGTAGTGGTGCGATCACACATGAAACGTTGAGAAGGATTTTTCAAAATAGGTATCATAGTTTCGTTTAATTAATTCGCTATCAGTATCGGTTGCAACAAATCCGGCGTACAGTAAACGTATACAAACTGCGTTTTACCTGCTCACAGCCGCCATTGTTCTTTTTGCATAGACCCGATATGGACGTACTGCAAAACTGATTACGAGTTCGCGTATCCGCTTCGGAAGCAACTACTCGTAATGTAGATGGGATCCGTCGATCTGATACTACGTTCTCATAATCGATACCAGAGTTCTTTAAAAGATAACCATCATTCATAACTAGTAGAAGAAAAATTTGTGAGTGAGGGACAAGCAAATACTACCTTATTCATGCGAAATATTCCATTGGCAAGCGGATCGCTCATATACAACCATTGACCCCATATATCGAGACTTTTAGCGCGATATCCAACACCAACTGTACGTCGGCTTTTGCCGTCGTAATCCGATGATTCAATGTTAAGCCTGTAACATGTTATCATCACTTTTTATTTGTTCTTCCACCTTTCTGTTTAGAAACTCTATCCAACTTATCCAATCAATAAACCCTACAAATTTTGAAATTAATGCCAATTTTTAATATCGACTGAACAAGCTTTTCTAGTTTAGCGTATTAATTATTACTTGTTGATATCAGCCCAATACAGTCGCTGTTCTCGGAGGTCAATGGCCAACGCTGCAGGTAAACTTACACCCTCCTTTAAGACTATATGTCGATCGCCACCTGCCATGTTAGCACGTTCGATTCGTGGCTCATACATACCTGTATCAACATATACGTATTTCCAAAAAAAAATTCAAAGCATTCTAAGCATTACATAAGAACTAACAACAATGAAGCAATTTGCAGATTGTGAAACTGTTTCATTTTGTTACATTAATGACATCAGTTGTAGTAATTACAGAGTTTGGGTTTGAAAGCCAACAGAAGAAAATAATGAATCCAACTAACAGGAGAAGAAGGTCGAGGAGGATCATTCGATATTATCATCAAAGAAGGAATAAAAAATTTCAATGGAATTTCAGAAAATTCATGAAGATTAAAGATTAAAGAAACCGAATTGAGTGGAAAGGAGGATTTGGAGAAAGATTAAAGAAGATTAAAGATTAAAGAAACCGAATTGAGTGGAAAGGAGGATTTGGAGAAAGTAAAATGCTGAACTAATTCGATCACCCATTCATTCATATGGTTTGTCAAAATCAGACCGGTTATCAAGACAACTTACCGCCAGTTATTTTATAACCACTATCGGACCAGAAGACGAAACCGGCACATGGATCGAGAGCCAAGGCATAGGTCCAATCACCGTTTGCAATTGTAGCTGCATGTTCGCCTTGTATATCCATAACGTATACTTTACCACCCCTGCATTACTAAAGTTTCAACCGAGAAAAGAAAGGCATTCGATAATGGGCAAACTCTTTTTATGAATCTATCCTTTAGGCAATTCCATCACTCTCAAAGTGTTTTCCTCAACTCATGAGTATTTATGCACTAAGGAAATTTCTATAACTACTGCTGTTAAATCTTCTTTTCACATCGTTATATTCGATTTACAAATCTCATTTACCAAAACTTCTAGACAGTTTACCTTTAATTTCTGTGAGTTTGCTAGGAAGAACTCATAACACTGGTCATCAAATCACTCTACCCACTCTCAGTCATAGGCTATTAATAGTTTAAATCGTCTGTCTAACTTCGGAATCTATTTCGCAACGCTTCAACCACTTAGTATGTTTATGCACAATTACGTAAACTACTGGCTGGAATTCGTCGAAGTATTATAGAAATCATTAGTTATTCATAAGTCTATTCAGGCGAAATATTTCGCACCTGCCAGTTGTGAAATATATTTTGTGCGTCAACCAGTCAAGTTTCATATCCGAAATATGTCGTACTGATTCAACAAGTTTGCTTTTTGTAGGACCAAAAATGAGTCTAAAATAAGTAAAGAATTAATGGAATTCAGTACAGCGTAAACATTCATAATAACGTAAATATCACTTCAAGTGATGTAGCAGCAACCAACCTCCGTTTAGCTGGCTGATTCATTGAAAACCAGGAGATATTTGCGCCATTTGAAGACTCAGTAACCATGTAGATGCGCCGTAAATTCACATCAACATCAAATGTTTGCAGATTTTCAATTTGTGGCAAAGCTTCTTTTAACGGATTTGCTGCTTTCACGTCTGGCTCGATCGGAGTATCCACTATGTAGTTACCATCCGCAAACATTAAGAACGTCTCCGGTTCTGAAGGATCCATGTATTAGAAAAAATCTGTTCATGTTTAGAAAATGTCAGAACCAGGATCATCGATATCTTTTTCAACTAAGGAGTTACTATAAAAAAACTGATAAAAAAGATTTCTCATTTCTTCAGAGAACATTTTGCTCTCCGCAGCATTCTCTTACAACGAAGTTTACTCAAAAAATGAACAAGCATTAATGAATGATAAAGCACAACTTTGTGGTGATACCTTCACATGTTCTCCCCTTCAGTACGCCACGAGCGCATGCGCACAAAGGACTTTGACTGCCAGGGGAGGCAAAGCAAAGTTGGGTGCACGGAGTTTTCCTCAAATTATCAGTTATTTGACAAGGTGATGACGCCTTTGGCTGCACTGATTCATCAAACACAACAATATTTCCCAGGTCGGCTAGACCAGCAGCAATCGTCGTTGGTGAGAATAACAATGATGTTTGGTTGGGGCGACTGAAATACAACTCCTGAAGATCTACCATGATATCCACACCATTCACCACAATGTTCTCTTAGAGATAGTGCAAAGGTTAAATAATTATTACTGGGAAGATTATTCACTCATTTAAATCTCGTTTGAAATGTTCCGGTTTGGACTATTTGGTTCTCTGTTTCGCTAACACTTTGCATTATCTTTCTGACATTTTTGAACATAGTTTCGCTACGATTGTACGACGCGTAAAATCCCTCCAATTCCCATAATGAAACCAATGTTTAGAACGAATTTTAAAGAGGGGATATGATGAAACATTTCGAAAGTTCCATTTTCCTTTGAACGATCGAGGGACATTGCAATATAGACTTTTATAATAGAAATTAGAAGCAGTATGCTCATGCCTCATTTTCATTTCTCTCTGATAACAAAACTGATATGACTTTTATTCTGATGACTTCTAACCTGGATGCAGAGAATACTTTTTCTAAGCGATTATCCGTCCAGTACATTGTCTGTCCAAGTAATGAAATGCCCGCTGCAGCAGCAATATCGCTTCGTACTAATTCCACAGGACCACCATCAGCTCGAACACGATATATCCCTGATATCACATTTATTGAACAAATTAACAGTTCTTATATCTGAGGAAGATTTCATTGATTGAGCAGTACATTAAAAAAAAAAAAAACGAAGAGAAAAGCACTTGAAAGCTCAGAATTATAAACGACAATATGACAAATTCCTGGATCCTCACCCATCTTTTGAGAATGAAAAAAATAGATAAGCTCTAACTTACCATCAAGTTTAGCATCAGTCCAATAGATCATATGACTATTGGGATCAACTATTAAGTCTGTCGGTTCAGCGATATTTTCATGCACAATTACCTGTCGATGACTTCCATCTAGGAAGGCTCGCTAAATTCAATAATCTTTACTATTAAAAATTTAGAATATTTTAATCACGAATTAGCCGCGAAAGACAACAACAGAACAAGGTCACCTGAATAGAAGGTTTCTGGCCCTGGTCAGCCCAGTACAAATATCTACCAACTGGATCTACAGCAAGAGAGCTTGGCGTCTCAGTCTTCGTTGAGAGCAAGATCTTACGATGTTTACCATCTAATTGACAAACTTCAATGTGAGTCCGATCCGAATCAACATTGATGAAGTATAAGTTATCTATAAAAAACAGTTCACAGTGGTAAAGCTATATGCTGATATGGGATCAGTGGTCCAATATTATCAGTTATTAATCACTTCAGCAATTCACTACTCGCTCTATGCAGTGAGCAGTAAATTTTTTTGATGGTCAATAAGACTTACAATTAACCCAATCGAGAGCGATGCTTCGCACTGTGAACGAGCCAAAACTATCCCGAACAATATTCTTCACTTCGCCACTACCCAAAGTAACCCTATAGATACCCCGATTCGGACCCGATGTTTCTGCCACGAATAGAGATTTGCTTTCGAATTCAAAGTCAACTGCAGCGATCGCCGCACCGCCAATGGGTTCCATCGCTACTGATCTCTTTTGTTCTTCTTTCAACCTGAGAGTTGTTTAATGTAAAGAAACCGCCGTTTTCTATTTTCAAATTGACCACAGGATCACAAATGCCGATTTTCAAAATAAAAGAGACTCACGGTATTCCAGTGATCTGTGTCTTTGTAGCTACGATCAAGAATGACTGATCAAAAAGTCTGCATTGAGTAGTACCCTCGAGAACATAACCAGTAGCACACATGCAATAATGCTGTGAAAATACTTTCGGAATGCATAAGTGTTCACAATTACCATTGTTTGTCCCACATGGATGAGAATGTCCTGCTGTAAAAACGGTATTATCATATCAGGAAGTGAACCGTTCGATGGTCCAACTTTGCAGATCGTACTTTTTACAGCTAATGTTCTCCTAACAGAAGTAATATGAAAATTGTATAGAGTTTTTGGTTACGATTCACAACATACTGCGTTTAGCTGATGATGCTGAAAAGGATCATGACAATATCTTACCACTTCGTCCAGAAATAGCTTTGATGTTGACCAGCTGATCAACATCCTTCTTAAAGTGTTGAAACTGTGATAGCTGACCATCACCGGATAGGGTAGTTACTTCAATACTGTCGAATGCGCTGTCTGCATAAAAAAGCCGGTTGTTGAAGAATGCAATACCACGTGGTTGTTTTCCAACATCATTTAGTATATAGCGACGATCTTGGCCATCATAGGTCACGAATGATATCTACAATGTGCAAAAGTAATTACTTTCCCTCAACGTGCATACATCGTGACAAGCAATTGACATCAACATTCACCTCTATTTCCTGCAATCAACTTGCACTCTGCATTTAATTTTTTCATGAAAAAACATAACTCACCCTACCAGCCTTTGACTCTGAGAAGTATAAGCGCTGATTAACTGCATCAAGTGCTAAATGGTTTAGTTCAGTGAGATCATTTGAAACAATAACCAATGCATTTTTGCCATCCAAATCAGCTCGGGCTACCTCAAATAAATTACAGTGTACAAAAGAGATTGGTCACGCATTGATATGACGATAAGCAAAGGTTTACTTTTGGTAAAACAGCACCACCACCTCGGTCCAACCAGAAAAGAAGACCACGATCAGAATCGACTGCTAAAGCAACCGGATTGGCTACTGCTGTAGGAGACTGATTATTATTCAGCACAGTTGCTCGATACTGCAAGAATTCTGGGATCAAATTTATCATTTAATCAATTATCTCTGTATTAATGCAATCCCGAGAACTTCATCAAGACATAAAAGAAATAAGTGCCTTTTACTTACTTGCATATTTTTGGTCCGTACCACCTCAATCGTTTGCGAAATTCTATTTGCGACATACAAATTCCGTCCGATCCAGTCCATTGCCATTGCATAGGAATCATCCGGAATTTGTGATGCAGTTATCTAAAGTTTGCTCACCCTATCGATTTATCTCATTGTAGTTTCCAACATTTCCTTTATCCATCCCTCTTTACAAAACTAAGACAAATACCTGTGTTCGATTCGTCGCAGATGATCTTACTTGAATAATTCGCGACTCTGGAAGACTATTAGGACTAATTATTCGACCCGTTGTTGCGTGTTCCAAATAAAATATCTGAAAATTCTTTTTCCATCTAAAACCAAACTATGCAGTTTTATGGCATGGTTTGCTCTGTATTTATGACCACAAAAAAAATTCTCTTTACCACCAGAGTTTATCATTCTGCTGTAGTTTTTTAAAAAATTTTATAATTTTTGTAAAAATATACAATGCCGAATTTACAATGCCTGTATTACCTCTGCAGATTCTGGATCATAGTCTGCATCATACGCATTACTGAGACCAGCCAATGGTATCATTCCGCAAAGTGAAGATGTCCCGTTTACCCCGTCGTCCATAGATAAGCCAAAGATGTTTGTCTTCTGGATAAGCATCAAGAATGGTTTCATATCACTGATACAACTTCTACCACTTGTATCCAAAATTTTACCCAATGGACATTTGCATGTGCTTTTCTGCAAACATTGATTGCGTGATGTTCATTTCCCATATTCATATCTGCACAGCTGTGCCAATATCAAATCCGTGAAATGTCAATGATAATTAGATGATATAAGTCAAATCAGAGAATAATACTACAGTAATAAAAGTCGCAATGAGAAAGATCGTTGAAAAAATTGATATTTTTTAGATACATTATGTAAGAGTCCAATAACAAAGAGCACAGTTAATTTCCAAAAAAGAAAAAAAGAAAAACTAACCATATCTCTACCGATCAAACATAGATCAGAACAGGGATTAGCAATGCAAGGATTCTCGAAATGAGGTTGTAAAACGGGATGTACTGCAGTAACACCAAGAGCTTTCGAGAATGTGTGTGACTGATATTCTATCGATGTACCATTTGGATATTTTGGATAAAGTTGGAGACGTTGCAGTCGCCGATCACTGTAGTAAATTATATCTTCGAATATTGCCAAAGAATGCGGATGTTGGACGAACTTTGTTGATGATAGCACTTGTGTACGACCTGAAGAACCCTTATAAGCTTTACCTTTCTTTCCCCTACATTATCAATTTTTCTAATAATAAGAAACAAAAAATAATTTTTAAAAAAGTCAAAAAAGAGAAGGCTGCAAGTATGTCAAAAAATTCTGGTATAAAAATAGACGATGCATTCAAACAAACCAGTGCCATCATAATTGATGAAATCAATATAGTCCAATTTACTATCGGCAAAATAGAGACGATTGGTTGTCAAATCTAGAGCAATTGTATTCGGCCAGTAAATCTTCGAATTTACCAGCACACGTCTCTCAGAACCATCCATATTCGCTCTTTCAATACGTGGATTCTGCAAACGATGCGCAATGAGTTTCTAAGGATTTAACAAAAAAAGTAGCAGTGCTAAGCACCATTAAAGCATAATTAGTGAAATATACATACCTGACCCCAATCAGTCCAAAATAAAAGTCCTTTTCTAGGGTCAACAGCGATACCTCGTGGTTGATCAACGTTTTCGTGAATTAATACTGCTCTGGAAAATCGACATAATTAACATCGAATAAACACTGACCATCAAGTAATTTCATAAAAATGAGGGAAAAGATTTTTTAAAGCTGTTACAGCAATAAAAGATTCATGATTCTAAATGAAAGGAGAGGAAAAATAAAATTAATAAAAGAGTCCGCACTTAAACGCAGTACCTTCAGTCATATCTAAACCCTCACTGTCACATTACTGTCACATTTGTCACATTTGAATACTGTCACATTTGTACCATTCCAGTAAATTAAATCAATTAAATTTATTTTCTGGGTCAATCAATTAAATGACCCAGAAAATAAAAAACAGACCTCGCACCAGGCCGTTCTAACGATGCCACTTCTATGGTGTTTAGACTGGAATCAACCCAGTACAAATTACGCGCAACCCAATCCAACGCAATACCTTCGGTCACATCCAAACCCTCACTAATGAATACTGTCACATTTGTGCCATTCCGTGTTGCCGAGTAAATTTTCTTTTCTCTTATATCTGACCTGCAACATAGGTTAATCGTTGTGTTCAGTGTATAAAACTGATGGAAAAGATTGTCTCATTAACTTCATAAACTTCATCGTCCTTTAACTAACACTTGATCTCGCATTTGCAAGGTAAACGTTTCCCTTTTATAAACAGACTGACTAACCAATAAACTCGATCCTCCACTGAATCCCAAGCTAATGCAATTGCATTCTCTACCCGTGCCTCGAAAGTATGCCAATTCTCAAGAAAACGATCGGACCAGTAAATGCGATTACGGTTTGACACATATATGCGCATATCCTGAATATACAGGTTAGCCAGATCTGTTACTTTTCCCATCTCTGCCAAAGTGATAACCCACATTTTGTGAAAGATATGATAAGAACAGTACTTGGACACCATCAGTAACTTTACAAGTTCTTTTATCGGCATCCAGTGTATATCCCTCCTCGCAACTACAAGTGAATCCGTGCTTTTCATCAGTACAAATTTGACTGCATGAACGGGCATCTAAGCATTCGTTTTCCGGTTCACATTTAGTTTTGTTCACAAGCTGCAATATTTTCTTTCTTTTATTTCATCATAAATTCTTATTAACTTGACTAGCTCCTAATCAGACTTACAGTAATTATTTTGCATCGCAGTTCATTCCCTGCTTCTTTTCACATCTCTATCTTCAGTTTTCAAAGATAAAGTGATACAATATTGGGTGTGAACTTGCCGTTTCACCGAAGGGACATGAGCAAAGAGGACCATCAGGACTCATATGACACTTGAAGGCACAAGCAGCCCGATCTGCAGCACAGAGATCTCTAGCACAACGTCCACCTTCATCCGTATTACCGGGACAGTGATCTTTACCGTCACATAAGTTATGAAGTGGTATGCAAATATCTGGAGCTCCTGGACATGCCACCTGAAAACGATGAATTAAAGTGGAAATTTCATATGTTTAGTATTCAAACGAGCTCACAAGATTTCTTGAACTCATTACAATTCAGAAAGTTCACATATATTTCTGAAATTATGAAAGAGTGAACTGGTGCTTCCCAATTGGAATTATTACACTAATCTCATGAACTGAATCTTACTCTTCATATGTTAACATCTATGCCGCCAAAAGTTATATGATAGGGAAAAAATTAGTAATCAGATTTATGAAATGTTAATTTGTAGCATATTCAAGATAATTTAATACAAAAGTGAAGGGAAAAAAATACATGTTCGAAAGGACATCGAACTGCAAGCAGTTGAGAACGCTGACAACCGTGTTCTACATCTTCATCACTATTATCACCACAGTCGTTCTCTCCATCACAAAGCCAAGTCTGTAAAAAAAAAAAACAAACATAAACTTAGCACTGACTCTCAGAAATATAATCTTTCTTCCGCCAAACCCAAAGATCCTCCACAGACGACATCAGATGTTATATTTATTGCCAACTGAAAAATCAAGTAGATGAGATCTGTGGGTAGACTGTTTCATATTTCATCCTAATATGTAAAAATACTTGCGTTGAAAATACAGCGGCCATTAGCACATTTGAAATGATCTTGGGTACATTGAACGCTTGAACACAGGCTTTCAGGTTCATCGCTTCCATCTTCGCAGTCCTGAAGTGTTAAAGTATCTTTTGTATGGCTCCAGTCTTTCAGTCTTACAATCAAGCAAAATAGCAGCGTGAGGAATTCTACTTCCTAAAAAGCACATGAATATGAATTTACTGAAATTCACTCTAAATTTTAAAAGGTTGAAACGAGAGAGGAATTTAAATTACTTTTTGTCCATCACATTTCCATGCTATCGGTATGCAAAGTCCATCAGATGCGCATGTAAATTCATTGTGTGTACATTTATCTATCTGAAAATAATACTTTTACGAATTGATCTGTTCATGAACTATCTCCTTAATTGTATATTTTCTTCTTTTCATACAACAAATTTGGAGGAAACAGCTATCAATTTTTAATTTCGACATATTCGGTGATATTAATTAAAAAGAGAACCTGAGAGAGACAGCTTTCTTCATCCGATCCATCGTCGCAATCTTGTTGTCCATCACAGTGATTTTTGAGTGAGATACATTGTCGTTTGTTATTACAACGGAACTGATCAGGACGGCAAAGTGCTGACGGACATCTTTCTTTATCTTCATCCGTGTTATCATAGCAGTCGTTATCACCGTCACAAAGCCAATAAACCGGAATACAACGACCATTACCACATGTGAACTGCACATGAAAGCAACTAAGCAGTTATTTCTATATGTTGTTAACTTCAGCCTCTTTTTTTTCACTTTTTTGTGACGAACATTTAATTTTGACTAGCAAGAAATCTTACCGCTTTGTATTGATCAGCTGTGTATTTGAGCTAGTGAACATGAGAGAATATAAAAGTATATTTTACATGAAGAAAACGAAACGTTGCAGTTCTTGTTTTGAAGAATTACCTGGTTAGTAGAGCATGTCGTATTCGTGCACATTTCCAATTTTTCATCTGAACCATCGCCGCAATCATTATCCGAGTCACATTTCCACTGTTCCGGAATGCATCGATGGTTATCACATTGAAACTTTCGTGCTGCACAAACGGGGATTTCGCCATTTTTGCAATACTGTAACAGAGCATACATTTCAAGGATTGCAGAATACAATTACAAATGCACGCCATTTAAAAACGCCAACAGACTGAACACACACCCACAGCTACTTTTCTATTATTTCATCCTTGTATTGTATTTCACTTCAGAATAATAATAACAATGCATGCAGTATCATTATCTTAGCATTTAAACTAGCCTTACCTTCACATCTTCATCAGAATAATCACCGCAGTCATTATCTCCATCACAAGCATATTGCTGAGGTATACATTTCTTCGTATTATTACAACGAATCGTATTCGGTGGACATTCCTTTTGAACAAAGCAAGGTTTGTCATCTGGTCCTCTCTAAAACTCTTTCGGGTTACTTTCACTATTTTACTACATGATAACAACCTTATCATTCTGGTTCTTTTCCTTTTATGTTGTCATAGGTAATGATGGCTTTTGACTTAAAAGGTACCTCGTCACTGCCATCGAGACAATCATTCTCCCCATCACATTTCCATTCATTTGGTATACATCGTCCATTAGCGCATAAAAATTGCGATGAATTACTAGCACATAGTATTTCGACAACTTCACGACGATCACGCTGACAAATACGCATGTTTTCTGGATTTATTTTGAACCCTAAATTCGAATCTTGAAGACAAAGAACTTCGTGATTCCATTAGTTTTTTCCGATCGGTACGTCTTGTTTAAATATCTATAGTAAAGCCAATGACTTGCCTTGCTTACAACCACATCTTTTTACGAGTGGCTGAGCTTCTGATGATGATGAAGTATTGGGAAGTCCAAAACAAAGCTGAGAACAATCACTTGAATGGCACGGGTGCTCAATCGATGGATCAGGTATCGGTTGATTAGCCGGTGAACAAGCCTACAAACATCAAAGTTTCATCATTTATTCTTTTGAAAAAAAATGGAATGGAAATGATGTTGGAGAATCCATCGCGCAAACAGGACCATACAGTCTGATTTCATAATACTTTCGATTGGGAATATTTGAAAATACCTTCAGTGAGAACACACTTCGATCTTTGCCCGTAAATTCGCGTATAATTCGACCTTTGCCTCCGTTTCGCTTATCGACACGACGTATTGAATACGGCCTCTGATGTACATAATACAGAGCATCTGCAATCATTCTTCATTCTTTAAGAAGTTAGAAATAGTGAGTAGAACAAGAAAAGTAATATTGAATATTAAGTTAAGAGGAAAGGGAAAGAGAGAAATGTTTATGTTACAAATAATAATAATACACCATTCTGTGATTAAGTATCAAATACCTCCAAGTATAGCGATAGCAACAGGAATTGGATTGTCTACAGATAGGATATACGGATTTGAGCCATCAAAGTTCATGCAGTTAATCGTCTTCAACAACGTATCACCGTAGCATAGTCGATCCTCCGAGAAATCGATAGCAATGCTGGATGGCCGCCCGAGAGTTGTGTTCCGTATAGTTTGACAGTTACTTGCATCTGTAACATTTTATTGTTAAATACAAAGGAAAAGGACAAGTAAGAGAGCGAGGCATTGTTTCTTGCTACTTGTCACTTATCCAACCTATTATGCATCGGTAGATTTTTGCAGGCCGTTGAGCTTCCGCGAAGAATAATATTCCATGCCATGGATGCACAGCAACAGCAACGGGATCACGCAAGCCGTTCAGCAATTGCCGATGAATTAGCTGATCCGGATGAACAAGACCCTAAACAGTATCTCTCTGTTTGCAGCAGCAAGTAATAGCATCATCTCTTTAATAGAAATGTTGAAGAGGATCAGAAAATCAAAAAAGTAATCGGAAAAAATATAAAATACTACGAGAGACAGAGAGAATCCTGAACCATTCGGGATATCTACTGATAATACTGATCAAGTACAACAACATCAGCTTTCCAAAATCACTATCATTCTCTTTGTTTCAAAAATAATTTTATTACAACTAACTTGTTCAGATATCTTGACGACTTCAAGACTATTTCTAATATTGTCAACATAATAAAGTTGCTTTGACAACCAGTCAAATGACATTGAAACTAATCCATCATTGTGAGTCACCAGTATTGGAGCAGAACCTTCTCCATCTGGCTTTACTCTGAAAATGATGTCCACATTAAGATATAAATGGTCTGTTAATCAAATTAGATAAGAAGTATTGAACAAAAGTTGTAGCTTACTCTACTTAAGAAACATATAGATGCAATGCGCCATTTGTTTGCGCAGTTATGAAATATATGCGCTTGTACACATCGTTCGACATAAATAAGGGTAGATCTCTTTAAAAAAACGTATCCTCACAGATTTTTTCGATCGGTGTTGTTGATAATCTAGATCATCTGGTTAGAGGTTGTTGTGCATGCAGTGGCATCTTTTCTATTTGCTTAAAATTTGCCTTAGAAAGTTTTCACAGTACCCGACTAATACCGACATGCGCAGATCTTGATGAAATATCCAGAAGGGAATAATGCATATCACATAAATGTAGCATATTATCTCAAATCAGACGAAAATGCTGTCCCATCTTCGATATCTGACTCATTCATACTGCTCGTATAAATTACCTATAGATGGTGTTGTCCATGATATCAGCATAGAAGAAGCTATTGCCATGAATGTCACATTCCACTTCAAAGTACATTCCAATACGACGTTGTGAAACTGGCGATATGGGCAAAATTGCTTCGCTTAGCGAATTTTGGTCTATTTCCGGGAATATGCCACGCACTATTTTGTTACTACTAAATAAGAGATAGTCTGTGGAATCAACGCATCTTTTTCCATCGATTAATTTCTGCAAATGTACAACATATAATATTATTCAAGTTAGGGGAATAATGCAGAACCGGGAAGAAACCATTTGAAGTTGCTAATACTTGAACTTCTTCAGCACTACTAATTAATCAGTCAAACAATCTTACCTTTTCACAATCATGCTAATTAAAATCAGAACAATAAAGTAACTAGAACCTGTCCTATAGGACAAATACATCGGTAACCAACACCGAGTCCATCAGCATCTTTACTTAGAATACACATTCCTTGACAATCTGATTCAACACATGGATTATCGACTTTTAAACCAAGACATTCACTTTCTTGAGGTCCAACTTGAGCCATTGGATGATATGCTACGATACCCATTGGGAATACATTATTTTCCTTCTTTGTCCTGCAAACTTTTCATCAGTAACATAAAAATTAATCCTATAAAAATGCTCTCGAACGAATATCCCATTATACTGAACACCTTTTTTAATCTTTCAAATAGCTTTATATAATGATTTGTATCAGCGAATGGCTCATCAAATTACAGTTTTCCAAGTGAACGGAAGAAAAAATTACCAAATAATATCTGTCGGTGAGCCGAATTTCTCAACACGCATAATGCCAAGACGTGTCCAATCTGTCCAGTAAAGATACTGATCGAATATGGTAAGACCAAAGGGATGAGGTACCTGAACAATTTTACTATTATTTCTGTTGAAAGATTATTTCCATTAATTATAGTTTGACACTCTTAAAAACACCAGACTTCCGTATGCACTTCACATTACTTCATCTTGTGTTCGTGAAGTTTTGCTTCTTTTCTGCTTTCCCTAAAACTACTTTCCATTGTCCTATAAAGTACAGACTAACATTCTGTCAACTTCATCTATATGCAATCCCATAGTATGCAAAGAATAATTTTCTTACAAAGTGCTATATTATTTGGATGATTTCTCGGTCAGAGTGATTTTTCTATCGTATACAGGAATATTCGGCTAGAACTTTTCCTAAACATGATTTAATAAACGCTTAAAACTATTCGCACTATCTTATATATTAATTTTGAAGATTCAAGAAATTCCAGACTTAGCACCTTATCCATATCAAGAAAAAGCGATGATTGGATAGAGCTGAAACTTTACGGGATATATTCCCAAGGAGAACGAGTAAATTGACAAAACACTGCAGTGTATAGGCTTAGTAAGACTAGATTGTCTTAGTTACGAAAACTTTAGATTGGAGGCGTTAGATACTATCATATGCGTAAAATATGGTATTGTTCAGTGTGAGATAAAAATACTACTATAAAAACAGTGTAGCGAGTGGCCAGTCGTCATGAATTGAACTGTGACCGGTTTAGAGATGATTTTAATGATTAAAGTGGATCGAAATATATATTAGCAGCTCTACATATATATGCAATATGTATGTACAGCTATATGTACATGCATATAATATATATGTACAGCTGCTAATACATATTATTCGCACTAT